GTCATATCGATCGAAGGTCACGCGGTTGTAGATGGGGGGGGGGGGGCTTTGCCTTTGGCTGGGTGAGGATGACTTGCACATTTTCATGCAAAGCTGCAGCTGTATATATATGGCTGCAAGAGCACTCATACTCACATGGAGAGTGGACATCACGAGTTGACTACACCTATAAGTTATTATCGTCGAACTTGTGGCGAGGGGTATATACAGTAACTCACGTGGTAAGTTATCTGCACTGACTGCATGCGTTCGCCAAGAATCGCGACTGCGGTGCATGCGTACACATGCAGGCAGCACGTATCGCGTGTTCATTTCACAAATCAACAAATCATTTTGTCGCGCAAATCATTTTGAAAACATTACTATGGTGCACCTATACGTATAGATAAGGTATCGGTACATACGTTTGTGGTAATTATAGGCTAGCGCTCGATTTCCTTACATAGATACACATAGAGTAGCTAGACACACATATATACTCACATTGACACACATATACACACATAGACACACATAGACACACTATATATTTATGTGCTCCAGATGAGCATTTGGACGGCATTTGCAGGAAATTGTCGGCAATATATAGGTGAAAGAGAGTATAGAAAGACTTTGGTAGTAAATAGATTTCGTATTTATTTAGCATTATATTTTATTGAAACGCTCCAAGTGCCTGTGGCCTGCACCATGTAGTACGTGCGTATATAATACGTGCCTGTACTATATAGAGAGCCTATATCAATATAGGCTCTGCCTGTACTAGCTGTGTATGGCGTGAATCAATAAATGTTGTCCTAGAAATTCGTAAGCGGCAGATCATGCATTTTTTCAGTCACAATTTATTAGTCTGTCAGGGTTGTGTTATTCAGGGTTGTGTTATTATAGTGTTTTTAACAGGGTTGAGAAGTTGTGCGCCTAAGCAGCTCATATTCATACCTGATCTGATTTTCAGCAGTGAATCCTGGAAAACATGTCGCGACCTATAAAGAAGATTGTGAAAGGGAGTTGGCAGAATGAAGGA